AACAGAGAAAACAAAGAAACTTAGAAGCCTACAAGATCACGACTTTTCAAGTCCGGGATAATTATTTAAATGCTCAGGTATGAGAAATGGAAAGTACTGTAGATGGACAAATCAAGAGCTGTTCTCTTTCTTCTCCATAAGATATGTAATGTGCATCAGCTGTGAATACACCAACATGCTTGTAATCTTGAGGCAGAGACTGAGTCCTGACCTGGTAAGTGTAGTAAACCTATCCCCAGACGAGAATCATAATTTGACTCTCCTACACTTTCCACTTGGCTTAGCTGCTGCAGACCACTGAAGATACCAAAAGAATGACTTCATCTAAAACAAGCAAAAATCCCCTTTTCTTCATAATAATATGTGAGATCCACAAACTCCACATACAGCAGATCAATTGGGAAGGGCCCAACACACTTGGAATGAACCCAACCTTTTGTTGAGAATTTAAATACGTTTTTTGGTCCTTAAAAAACTCAGTGATCCCTACAAAACCCTTGAACACTAGACTGCTGTTTTACCACTTACAGGTCCTAAGAGTCTTCCTCACTGTGCAGCACTACAGCCAGCCTGATTCTATTAATCTAGCTGCATCTTTTTCAATTGCATTCCCCCAAAAGCCTTTAATGGTTGATCCTAAAATATCCTTAAATATCTAAAACACACTCAGAACCCCAGAGCCGGAAAAGGGTAGAGTGCCTTCTCCGGGTTGGGGAGGATGTACTGCCCCTAGTGGAGGAGTTTTAGTATCTTGGGGTCTTGTTCATGAATGAGGAGGAGATGGAGCGGGGGATCGATAGGCGGATTGGTGCAGCATCTGCTGTGAAGCGGGCCCTGTACCGGTCTGTGGTGGTTAAGAGAGAGCTGAGCCAAAAAGCAAAGCTCTCGATTTACCGGTTGATCTACCTTCCTACCCTCATCTATGGTCGTGAGCTTTGGGTCATGACCGAAAGAACGAGATCCCAGATACAAGCGGCTGAAATGAGTTTTCCCCATAGTGTGTCTGGGCTCTCCCTTAGAGATAGGGTGAGGAGCTCAGTCATCCGGGGAGGACTCAGAGTAGAGCCGCTGCTCCTCCACGTCCACCTGGTCCACCAGGAGGAGGACCAGGGGGAGACCCAGGGCAAGCTGGAGGGACTATGTTTCTCGGCTGGCCTGGGTTCGCCTGTGGGTCCTTGGATAAGCGGAAGAAGATGGATGGATGGACACTCAGAACTCAAGGTAGTTGTCATGTCAGCCGTTACAGCTCCACTACATCCAGAGCCCAAGCATCTCTAGACCTATCCTGTCCCAAGATGTATTTCTTGCTCCCTGGCATTGGGGAGCTTGGTAAGTACCAACAAAATGTCTGCTTTGGGAATGAACTCTGCTTCACAAGAGTATTCAGGCTCCTCATTTATAACCTGTGGTGGACAAAGTACTCAAACGTAGTACTCCAGTAAAAGTTTTGATACTCATAGTCATATCTTACTCAACTAACAGCTACGGCTCTGTCAAACATCTACTCAAGTTAAAGTATTGAACTTCTCACTTCTGAAAATACTGCTACATGCATTTAACAGTACTTAAGTATTCAGAAATACGTATTCAATTTTCTAATATCAGTAAATGTCTGTATGATTTTGTAGTCAGTATAAAATGTAGTAATTTTAAAGAACCTTGGAATTTTCCGAAACAACCTGATGTATTTGTGCGTAGAACCACCTGCTACCAATTCTGCACCACCTGTGGCATAAAAATGCCACAAAAAAATGAAGGTCATGCATTGTGATTATTATTTGTTATTTTAAAACAAACCAAAAAGAAAACAGGACTATATTGATTCTCCTCACACTTTCACTATGGAATAGCAGTTAAAGGTTGAATCCATTACCAGAAAGAAACCTCAAATGTGATTTCAGAACTCATACTGCTGAACAACTCGGCCACATGGCAACAAGTAATGCCTTAATGACATTTCTGAGCCATAAATAATATCTGCCCTGAGTTTCTCACGTCTGTGGAATGTCATGCAAATCTCTAAAACAGTGGAGTCCAAATCCAGTCCTAATGGCTGTTATCTTGCATGTTGAAAGAAAAACCGCAACAGCGGATTACAAAGCTAAGCTGAGCCAAAAGGAACAAGGACCTAGCAGCTTCTTCGAAATGTAGTTGTGTAGAAAGTATAATTTTTTAATTTGAAATGTAGAGGAGTGAAAGTCATAAGTACCCCCTCCAAAGAATTACTCAGGTAAAGATAGTCAAAAAATCAAGTAAATGTAATTTGTTACTTTCTACCATCATTTACAACATATATGTTACCAACTTAAGGAGACCCACAAGGTGTTCCTTCTACCACCTGTGTCCTTAGTTCAGCACTATAGTCAATGCCACTTATCCTCAACATACCTCAGAACATAAGGAAAACGCTTTTGGAGGTGTGAGGTGAAGATCCCTCAAATGAGGCCCTTTTGCCAGATGTTTCTACTTCACCCTGAAGAATACTATATAGTGCCGAAAAGTATTCTTTATTACCTTTCAACAGTTCTAAGCTAATGGCCTTCTTTTCTGCTGTTTCTTATCTCAACAAGTATCGTATAGGAATTATTCTGGAGGCAAAACAAATTTAAGCAGACTTCATATGGCCAGTTCTTTGGTATTGGATCTTTAAAAGCTGAGAACTTCTAAAGCTTGACTTGAATCCATCTAATGCACATTATCCAGAAATCTCTTTCATGCATGCGGACATAGGGTGAACAGTTGTGCGTCTTTTATCGCTGACATTTATTTTTCACCTGACAGACCGGTTTTCCTGAAACTGACAAGCAAATATGTCTCAGTCCTTATGCAAGTGATGAAGTCACTGAGTGATTTATAGGATTGATGTGTGAGGAAAAGTAGTTTCCATGCTCGGTAGACCCCAGGAATGTACCATGCCCCTTAAAGGCAGTCTGCTCCTAGTGATACCTAAGCATTATAACCAGACAAGACTATTCAGTCCGACTCACAGAGAACTTTTGTTGTTCCAAGAAGAACCTGCTTTTTACCACCATGTCATAACAGTAAATGACTCCAGTTCAGCTATTTCTTTTTAAATGAAACGGTCTGAAGATGTTTGACTGATGAGTAAAGTAAAAAAGTACTTTAGTACATTTGGTAGCTTGTAACGTACAATAGATCGACTTCTCTCATAGATTTAAGTAAATTACAGTCTGGCCACTTTTAAGAGCTACTTCAAATTATTAAAGTTACTTTGTGCAACTTTTGGCCCAAATATCAGCTTAAAATGAGATATATAATGATTTTTCTGGTCAGTAACCAGCCTTTGGTGAATAACAATGTTTTGTTCGGGCTGCTTTAACGTAGCAGTTAGTTGAAAAGGTCGGATCCCTCACTGAAAGAGTCGTGTGACCCAGAGCACCACTTTAGAGCAGCAGGCGTAATTTTGGTTCTCTGAGAAGTAATGGAGTTACTTGTAAAGACAAGGTCACATTCACCCCTCTATATTAATACTACACTCAGTCTGCTGGTGCAAAGTGGTCGGCAGTCAATTTCCAAAACACGAAGGGAGACAGTTTGATTTTGTGACAGTTTACTGTCGCTAGTTGCTTTCAGGGGTGCAAAATCTGGAAGCTCTTGGTCTAAAACCCCTAGTAGCTAAAAATTACACAGTCCTGCTTTAAATAAATACTATATATATATATAAACTAGTTACTTTCAGTATCAAAACTATGGACAGATGAGCTGAATACGACTGGTACTTTTCTCAAGAAATATGAATTCCAGTTTGAGGAAAGCCCTACAGCGCAGGTCTTCAACAGGGGGTCTGCAACCCCTAAGGGGTCCACGGAGGTACTGCATGGGGGTCGCGAAAGTTTTACTTGATTTTATATTCCCCCCTACAATTCTGTCTTCAAAAACACATTAACATGAATTCAACACACTGTAGTAAAAAGATAAATGGAGGCAGAAGATGTCTTTCAGTCATCAATGCACACATTCAGCGACACACAGGAGCTTTTTAGAGCTGGGAACCGTTTCATTCACACCTGGCCCATCAACGAGGAATCAGAAATGCTTTAATAATCCCAGAGAGAAATTACTTTTGTTACATTATTCCATCTGTAATAGAGTGACTATAGGACCAGTTTGACAGAACACAATTTCATCGACATCTCGCCATCAGTTTGGGGGTCCTTGGCCTGCAAAACATTGAAGACTCCTGTCCTACAGGGAGTATAGTAAACATGAAGATAACACTACCCTGAGGCGCATGACGTTGAAATGTAGCTTTTTGGCCTAAAGTCAGATGTGGTAGAAAACGGTGTTCAAAAATCATCCTCACATTACAAAACAGCATACAGCGAAGAGCTACAGTAAATGGACATAAATGTTACTATACGTGTGTTAGAATGGTCTGGATTTAAGTCCAGACTTAAATCCGATCAAGACATACTCAACGATAGGTTTCACACAACAAAGCCAACCTATGAAGGCCCCACAGCCAACCGTCCATGATCCAAGAACTTCCAAAATCCCTGTGCCAGACACCATGAGACAAGGATTTTCAGGCAGTACCCAGGAGCTTTAACGACTTAAAAGGACGCTGCACCATAAGACCTATACTACTTAGAAATGGGCTTTTAAAACAGAACGAGTTAGATATTATAATCAGTCCTGCATTTATATACATGTCATTTTTTAAAAGAAGTTAGTACCAAAAGAAACATGAGAAATAGTAAGATTTAAGGCAGCCGACTTTACCATCAATCTGATTTTACCTCATCCTGTATAGCACCCTAGGGGCCTCGGCAATTCAGCTACTTCCAACTAGGTGTGGTCATTTATTTTATTGTTATACAATACTGGTGTCTCGACAAAGCCCATTTTTATTGGGCATGCTTTAAGTATAGCATGTATGCCTTTAAAAGAAAAGAGTCATAGTTTTTAATCATTATGATACTGACATGAAAGAAAACTATACACATTTTAAGTCCATAAACGGAATAAACAGACCCAAGTTCATTTTATTCATTCTATTTATTCTAAAGGAAAAATATATAATTCAATAAATACTGTGGCAACAACATTGGCAAAGACATTTTGAAGGTGACGACATTCAAGAAGAGTTGGGTTTACAGAGACAGGACAGATCAAAACATGAGGATGAGTCTGGGCACAGTTCTGCCAAATGAGACAGTACTGATATGGAAAGGCTTTGTACGCCATTACGCTCCATTAGAAAAAGTGCATCAATGACTGTAACAATGACATTTAAGAACAAAACAGTTGCATTATTGTCCAAACCTTATTACCCCCCCACTTGTCATTTTAAGAATACATTTCCCCCCCAAACCGTTTTCATCTGAGGCATATTTTAAAAAAACCACCTGCAGACAGAATTCAACTCAAACATCAATAGGCAAATATTTCAGACCCTCCAGACAAAACAGATCATCTAATCATTTGAATCATTCCCATGTAAAAGACAACGCAAGAAAGGCCAAAGTGATGTTTAATTAACCGTTCGTTTGCATCATGTCATTTCATGTTTTCCCTTCAGAAAATCTACAAACTTAAGGAAAACCTGAAATTGACTTCCTGCTAATGAACGAGCTAACTAGCTTATTTAAAAGGCTAATAGTTTTACTATTTGGAAACAGTCTAGCCCCCCTACTCCTGCTACACAAAATGCAATTACTTTTGAATAATGATCAAGGGAGAAAAAAACAAAGCAAAACACAAAAATCGAAAGAAAAACAATAAATTGATGAATGTTGGGAAACGCATGGAAACTTCCACAACTCCAGAATAAGCGGTAATAAAAATTAACCGTGTCAATCTAGAAAATGTAAACAATGCTGAAAATTAAACTAATCAGCTCAGTGTTTGACAAAATGAATTTTTAACTTGCCAACATTTTAGGTCATAGTTGCTTAATCCATCACAATAAAAGTTTAGAGAAGAAAAAAAACTATTTGGATGCTTAAGTTTTGGGTTTACATGTAAACGCACAATATAAATTTGTATCATTATTGTTAAGCTAATACCTAAAAGAAAAAGGTGAAGGCTAACTGATGAAATGCTAGCAAACTGCTAGCCCTCTGGACAGACTCAGCTGTTGGCTGCAGACAGTAGCCATTACTTTGCGTTATTTAAGGGGCTCCCTCTTGCATACAAACATGAATTGCTGACATTGACAAGCTAGCGAGTAGTTTAAAGTATATTAACTTAATGGCTAATGGACTTAAAGGATTTTACAGTTTGTAAACAGTCTCCAGTTTCTCTCTCTTTGGAGTAAATTTGCAAAGGTTAAAACATTTACTGTAACCTCTACCTCCATTTTGGCCTTTAGCGTAACATTACCGTCTCTGAATTTGGAATAAAACCCACTTGACTTTTATTTGGAATCTAGTTTTAGATTCCATTTATAGTTATTCAGATTTTGAAACCATCAGCATCAACTTTCTTCAAGGAAATACAAAGATTTAAGTTTTGAACCCAAACAACCTCTGCACTCATGCTAAAAAATAAAGATGAGGTGGGGAAATTTAATTAAAGAAAACTTTACATAATACTTTTTCTCTTGCTACATTGTGATCAACCTATGATTTATACGCTTAAATCAAAGGTTTAAGATCTGAAGCCGTTTGTTGAGGCAACAGATTGAAACTAGCGGTAGAGGGAGGATGAAAACCAACAGAATCGGAGTAAAACAAAAGACGCAGTTGCACACCAAAAAACTTCACATTTTACCAACAACATTATCAGAAACAAAGGGACTCCTCTGCCCACACCAACAGTCACAGGAGCAGAGATAGCAGTAAATCCAAACCACAGTGACGAGTTTGCTGTGAAAGCCCTCTTCAAGCCTTTTTTTTAACCTTCATATCCCACCGCCCCTCTGCCATAGCCGGCTTCCCCTCCGATTCAAAAGATGTTTAAAAACCCTCTACGTGTGATCATCTCTTAATGACATCACTCCTTCTGCTCATTTCCTGTTGGAGAGGAAAGCCTTGGCTGCATCCGCCTTGTCCTCAGAGGAAGCAGGTCTCCTCCCAGCACTGATAGCCAGCTGACTGATAGCTTCCTCCTCTGTTGGGACTGGTGATAGAGGGGGGGGGGGTTGCACATCTACTAGGACGCAATTACTCAACGAGTTCTCGTTGGTGCTGAATATTCCAGTAACACACATGAATTGAAGCTTATGAAAACCCCTTTTCCAGACAACAAAGGGTTGGTGTTTTTTTTAAGCATGCAGGTCAGGGCTTTGCAGCTCCCTGCTTGCATTACGCGCCAAACTCGTTCTCTTAAGTCCAGTACCCCCCCTCTCAGTCTAACAAGTCACATCACAGAGCAACTTTTGGCTTTGTCCTTCCGGAGATCCGTGGAGACGGCTGCCAGGTCAGGCCGACTGGGCATGTGCGAAATCCTCTTGTTAGCGCGCGTCGTCTTGCTACGTTTGACATTTTTGCTGTTCTTGTTGATGCAGGCCAGCGTGGCCACGTGGAAAATGTCCCTGACGCTGTTTTCCGACTGCTGAGCCGAGCACTCGATGTAAGGCGCCGAGATCTGTTTGGCCATATTGGAGCCCTGGAGAGTAAACGCTTAGGTCAGATTCACAGGAAAATTGATGCAAAACACTCATTAGCAATCAGAAATACTTTAATAATCCCAGAGGGAAATTACTTTTGTTACACACTCCAGTTACAATTTTATACAATATTTACACACATCCAACTATACAATATAATAAATAAAAAATAAGAATAAAAAGAGATAAAATATATACACATATAGCTCTTCTGTATATATATCTGTAGGTATATCTACGCATATGTAAAAACTAAATCCAAATAAAGTGAAAATCCAAGTAAAGTGATATGTGGCGGGCAAAAATAGTGCATAAGCAAAAGTAATATAAATATAGGCAAAAGTAATATAAATGTTGTAATCACAAGTCTTAAAACCAAGTACTTCAATAATTTGCTTTAATTAGAAGCAATATTTATACACTTTAAAAAAAAAAATGAAAATGGCTGAATACCTGGTCATAGGAAACTGGCGCTTGTCGATGGTTAGACAGCTCTACAAGCGTGCCAAGATCAGTGCGCAGGTCCGACTTGCATCCGACTAACAGCATCTTGGTGTTGGGACAAAACTCCTGGATCTCTCCTTTCCACTGTGGAAGACAAATACTTTATTATCAAGGCGAACTTACTTCCCCCGAGATCACCGCATTATTTGAATAATAATTTTTTTCTAAAGCCACTTTCTACAAACTACAGATGAACTGTTCTAGAGCAGCATACATTCACCGATTCAGTAATATATCAAATCATTTAGTGATCAATTCATGGTTATTAAACAGCCGATTACCTGTAAGAAGAACCCAAACAGAACAGTAAATATGCCAAAATTGTAAAAATATAACATTTAACGTTCATTAAATGGAACTTGCCAATCAATCTGCTCTAAGCAAAATTCCTCAACTGGCTAAGTTTTATCTTGACCCAGTTTTAAGTTCTGTATAAAATTATTTTTGGGGATCTGTGCCAGTGATTATTAATCGGAAAAATAAACAGTTTAATCGATAAACCCTACATTAGTACAGTTGGCTGCCATTTAGATCGCTCCCTCCATCTGCGATCCATTATTAAAACGCTTTAGATGGATTCATTAACAAATCTTTACATTTAAATTGAGACATTTTATATTTAAATGGAAGAATAATATTGGCTTGAAGAATCTCTCCCAAAAGAAGGGCAGCATATATAAAGGATTGGTTGAACAGACATCAAAATAAAAGGAATCCTTTAAAAAAGAAAATATTGGTTGATCTATACAAAAAATTATTAAGCTTCAAATGATAAAAAACAAAACAAAAACAAAAAAAACAAAAAAAAAAAGCCTTTTTTAATAACATCTTGAAAATCCTCGAGTTCCAGCCCTGCAGTCACCTGGTTTTCAGTACAAAGGTTAACGCTGGCATTTCCTGAGCCCCACAAGCTTTGAACCATGGAACGGAGCTACAAATAATCCTGTTTCCTCCTGAACAATAAATGCTCTGATCAATGGGATTTCACCACGGCTAATGTGCCTGTGAGCCGACTGGCCAGCGGGTCAGAGGATCAAGTTCATTACCACGAAAAGAGGAAGCTATTTTACACGGCGCCTATTATCGCCTCACTAAATGCCTAAATGTTTGTTGAAACTTGAGGTTTTTGCAGAATTTACTGCAGTTTATCCTTTAAAAAAAAAACATTTAATGATTAGTTAACAAATAGTCTATCTGCATATTCAGACCTCCAGCATAGCTGCCCTCAACCAGCACTGAGAACTGAGGTTTTGCTTTGCGGTTTTCGTCCCCTCAGGGGGGGGGGATTACATTCCACATTCTTACTTTAAGCCAAATAAACAAGACGTGGAACACTGGCGGACCTCGGCGTGTGACCTCAATTATTCAAAATGAGCTGGCAGTCAGTGGAAGTGAATAGATGACTTGGAAGCATCAAACGGCATCTCAGTTTTGTCATTAAATGTTAATTGTAGAAAAATGTGACTGGCTTTACACTGGCTTTAAAGGATTCTATTGGGAATGCAGAAAAAGCCCAGTCACCACCTCATACGACTGGATTCATCCACATGGTAGTCAGTCTGCAGGACGGACATCAGCTGTTCACCACTAAACAAACTCATGTGAGTCGTCTGTTTAAGAAACATTTGAGGATAGACTGTCATGAGATCTACTTTGACCATTAAAATAAAACATAAAAACTTGAAAAATTTCATATTTATCCTTTTTTGCAGTGGATCACTTAAAAAAAGAATATGATGATAATCAGTTTTTTTTACTACAGCTTGTGGACAACTTATTCCTCCCCTGCCCCACCTGTTGCTGCACAATGCCCATCAGCTGACATTTGCCCATGTGTGTAAAAAATAAAATAAAAATTCAGCTGTGTAGGTGCATTATGTCGATTAATGACTGTGCGTCTTTCTTCTGGCTAGCCCAGCAAATAGCCTCACTAGCTAACCATGCAAAATTAGCTTGTTTGATTCTTCTACTAAAAAGTTATTAGGGTTTCCATAACAACCAATTAATACCTATTATTTTTCACTTGAGTCTAATGATAAAAAATAAAAGTACAATCCAAATACAACCAAACTAAGTCAGTATTTTAGCAGCTGAGCTTTGCTCCTAAAAGCAGTGAGATCATTCTATGCCACTTAAAAGTTTCAAATGTTCAAACCAAGAAACCTCACTTTTCCCTCTCTCTGCCCAGCTTAGATTCAAGTATTTTTAAACCAAATTGGATAAGAGAGTTTTATTACAACCATACAAAAATAATTTTATCATGGCTGAAATTGGCAAGCAGCCACATACCTTTTTTAATACACTGTCAAGGGTTTCAGGACGGCTGATGTCAAAACAGATGAGGACAGCGTCCGAGTCTGGGTAGGACAGGGGCCTCACGTTGTCGTAGTACGGAGATCCTTAAAACGACAGACATGAAACTTAGAAAAACATCTTTTTTTATTCGACAGCACAAATTCAACTAGTTGCATTTAAAAACTGAGAACTACTTTTTTTTTTTTAGATGTGACCTTTCAACATCTAAAGGTTTTAACCAGATCTAGAGAAGAACCTCAGGTCTAATGAGTACATAAGCAAGGCCAAATCTCTGCTTGGAACATTGATAAATGCAGTTCAGTTATAATCCATAGCAACAAGGAATAACACAAATAGTGCATTAGTTGAAAAATGTGCTGAGTACAGGATAACTAAAAAAAAAAAAAGAGGTAGAGAAACTGAGAACTTTAGAGTGAAGACATTTTTTTCTTAAATTAAAACCATATGTATGGAGACGCCCATCTCTCTGGTAGACTCAAAGATCTCTGGAGGGGAGGGGGGGATATGTGGCGTGAAGTTCAGGTGGGTCAGGATCACATGATGGGGAAGATATGACCACAGGGAACAAGCTGCCAAGAATCCAGGGAATTTTGTTTTTGGTAATTGAAGATTCCCCTGGGATGTCCTCCCTAAATATTGCGGAGAGGAAAAAGGCAGGAATGCTCCATCTCATACTCAAACAAACTTCTACATACTTTGAATGCAGTAGATAACAGCATTTCAAACAAAGCTTCAAGGCTCAGGCCATGAGGTGTGAGGCCAGAGACCAACTTCTCAAAGCTCTGCTAATATTTGGTACTACCTTGGAGAAAAGAAAAATCACAACGGTAACAGTGTCAATTTAAAACATTTATAATACCATCTTTATCAGCACTTTTTTTGACAAATGAAAGGCTTTATAGTCATGATTGTTATTACTCAATGTTATGCAAACATAATCATAATATTGTTGGAGATCAGCCTGTTTTTTTCCAGTGTAGTCCTGTTTCTCTGACTGACTGTGCTCTCTTCATCCTCTGATATGGGAGCTGGCTCAGTGCTTGTCTATTTCCAGTTGCTTTTTGTATCTCTGCTTCAGTCTCCTTGAACCCCAGTCAGCCTCAGCAGATGGCCGCTCACACTGAGCCTGGTTCTGCTGGAGGTTTCTTCCTGTTACAATGGAGTTTTTCCTCTACACTGTCGCTACAAGCATGCTTAGTGTGAGAGATTGCCTCCGAGTCAATGAGTTGATGCAATCAACTGGTTTTCCTTAGATAGAAAACTTTGAATCAATTTCACTGTATGATCTGGTTGAACTGTAAAGAGCCTTGAGATGAACTGTGGTGTGAATTGGCGCTATAGAAATAAACTGAAATGAATTAAACTGAAATGAATTAATATCTCTAAATGCACAAATTTTTTATTTTTAAACAAATGGTTACTTAAACCATTTTAACATGGCAGAGATTAACATTTCAGAGTCCAAAAATGGGGGAAATTAACAAAATGTCAAATGACCACATTTATTTTTTTCCAAAGCCAACCTTAAAGCTAGCAAATGCTAACATACTTTCATAATAGCTAGCACTACATCCACCATGCAGGCTTTTAAGTTAAACAGAAAGAAGCCATAACTGATGGGCAGTTTAATCATTCTATTAGATATAAAGCAGTCCACAAAAACTAGCTTTTGAACAAAGCTAACCGTGAACAATGGGGGTGATGAAAATAACAGTTTAAGCAGACAAATTCAAAATTGGGTGCAGGATTATAAAATATGTTAGTTCCTAAAGACTTTGACAGTTTGAAAAGACAGTTTTGTAAAACAAAAAACCTAAGCTACTAAGCTAAGCTAACTAAGCTAACAGTTTAGCTTTTGCTAATAAGGCTAAATGGGTTTCGACTGCTTTATGGAAGACAACAGGCACCTATTTTTAAAGACTTTTAGCTGCTTCCATGTTTGAGAAACATTTATTGGAAACATCATCTGTACTTTATCCCCCCACCCCACTAGTTGCTGTTCAATGTTCTAGATGTTTGAGGATGATGGCATCTTGCAAAACAAAATAAAAATGTTGGCATTTTCTGTTATCGTCTACATCATTTTTTAAAGAAAAGGGAATCTAATAAGTCAATTTAATACAAAGCTAAATCTTATAAGGCTCTTGTTTGCAACTTTTCTTAATAAATGTCCTTTGGAAAACCTGAGCAAAAAGACCATCGTATCTTTAGCAGCCATCATAACATTACAAACAAGCCAACTGAATCTTTTCTTTCCTCACTCCGCTCTCAGCCTTGAACAAAGCAGTGAAAAGAAGACCTTTTACTGAAAGGGTAAGCTTTGTAAATCAGTTGACATTATAGAACGTTTTCAATATTTTTCATCAAACTGCAAAGAGGACTTCCATATTACAGCAGTCTGGTGTAGAGCAAGCTGTAATAAGTCTGCATACATTTCTGTGAATAGACCGGGATGTTAGCTGTCAAAATATTAATAAACCTTTTTACCTAAAGGACGACATTAGAAGAATGGGGGGGGGTGTGAATGTATGCAGCGATGGATAAGATAAGAGGCAAACCCACAGCTGACACGCACTGAAACCTGGTGGCCGTGGCGTAATTAGCTCCTGTAATTGTCCTCCCACAGGGTCTCTAAATCTAGACGGGTGATGAGGACCCCCCCCCCCCCCCCAGAAACATATTCACACAACAAAGTGATCCTGTTGTGCACAGCCGCACAAGAGAAACCAGATGTTAGGTGACCAAACTTCCACTGTGGTCCTCATTATGGAGTTTTCCATGATTGTTTTCCACGGTGGGTGGGACAAGAGGCTCCATCTTATTCAAGGAATTTAAATGAAAAGGTGAAAGAAATGGGGTGTATTTATGTAACAATTATACCCCAAGATTTACGTCACCTTCTAAACATCCAAGTAGGTTTTTATCCCCCCCATGCTGAGGAATTTACTTTCAGATTACAAAAGCAAAGGCGCAGGAAATTTTTACTTTATCTCCTGGTACAGATGTGAAATAAGCCAGATGCATCCGACAGTCTGGAAGTCTGGCAGCAGGTCTGCTGTTTTAGCACATAGCTCACATAGCTGTGCAGAACTGACAGTAGGAGAAGGCGTGGAGCCCTGCAGGGCACCTGGAGAAACAAACTGCGACAGACTTATAGCTGCAGTCAAGCACAAAGGCAAACATGCCAAGGACAAGAAGCACAACCAGAGCAACCTCAGCCAATACCTTCTGTGGTTGCTGTGGTTACTAAGACATCTGCAGTCATAAAGGCAACCCTTGTGGTTTTCAGTATATGAAAAGGTACGGATCGAATACGTGAGGCTGTTTCACAGATCATGTCAGAGTGTTAACGTTAGAAGGAGGCACGTATCAAAACAAAAGGTTTGGGGATAAAAGTGCAGCACATTTCTAGAGATAATTTAAGCAGCTTTTATGAAGTTAAACCATCACCAATGTTTATTTAACTCAATGCCCTGCATCGTTTTCTATACCCCTTAATTATTTTTTGACATTTTGTGACATTTCATCAATTTTATTCCATGCTTCTTCCAAAATAACCCAACAAACTGACCACTTTCTGTCTCTTCAACATGATTCTGCCACTAGCATGCATTATACACACTTTATTTTACATGTATTTTGCACATTGGCCTGTTCTGACCCTTTTGTTTACATGCATCATGGTAAACTATAAATAAGGTTTAGGAATGGCTGTTTGCACATTCATGAAGAGGAAAAATGGCAGTCCTCTTTTTCACTGTACTGGTAGGACACACGGCTCCCAACACACAGATATTAATGTCAGGTGAAACATCACATAGAATATTTCCATGACATTAGACAGGAAGTGTAATCTCTCTCACTGGGTCCCTGTGTTTCAGCTGACACACTATCTCCATCCCATCAGTGGCCCGCTAGATTCCACCGTGATTCAATTTCCCCCCCCTGGAAACAAGGTGGGGTTTTAGTGATCCACGGCGCTCCTCTTTCACTGGCTGAGGATCAGGGCCTGCTGGGTACAATAGGGGTCTTTGTAAAGGAGGATGTAGAAACCTTTAGTCTGAGGAATGCCAGACATGCGGCTCCAATTCGTAGAGGCCAGAGGAATGGAGTTGGCAGGGCAAGCGAGCAGTCGAGGAGCTTAACTTGGGCAAAAAAGGCCCGCACCAAGCCGTCCAACCAACAGATGCACCGCGCTCTAGAAGCCTCTGCCTTGTATTTATGGAAGGGACTCCTTTGAAAATAGATGTCTAAATAGGGTTCCTTCATTCCAAAGTGCTGACAGCGTCGTTTCAGAGCATTTCAATTTGAAAGCCTAATTTTTAGCTACATGGAACTACTCTCACTAGCATATAAACTCATTAAGAAATGATTAACGAGTTTATATTGTGGTTTGCAGCAACAAATACTTAATTTGAAGAATTTAAAAAGAAACCAGTTTAGATTAAACCTCTATAGCCTTAGATTAGGATGTTAAATACAACATATTAATATTAGTATATAAACAATACGTCACATTTCAATTCAAACTGGTAGATGCCCAGAATGGGGGTAAAAAGGGGGAAACCAGCACTAGTTTTAGTAACTTGCATTTGTAAGTTTAAGCAAATCAAGTTAATGGATGAAAGGTAGCATTTTGCCCTACTAGTTTAGTAATAGTCACATTTTAGGGGGTACCTACCAGATCTCCTCAGACTTGGATATAGGGACAATGCTAACACCTTCTAAAAAAGTACTTCATTTGGTTTAGGCACCTCAGGCTGTAAACTGCCGATTCAGTTGTTGCCAGATGCAACAAGCAGCCGTTCTAAAAGTAAACACTCTACAAATGGGACAGCAGTCAAGCCACCAGCTAGCTTGAGAAAGTGCCCCCCAAACGCATTAGAGATGCAACAAAAACAACTGGTGACTAGTACCAGCTTCATCTAACCAACAAACTACTGACTGGTTGGTTTATTAATCTGAAACGATTGAGAACTTTCCACAAGACTCCAGGTACAGCAGAACATCAAACACACCTGGACGTCTTCATGGTTACAGAGTAAAGACTCCAATTTAGCCACTTCAGGTCAAGTAAGGGTTTTTTTGTACCTATAACAGTTAAGTCAAGCTAAAAGTGAGAGCAAGACTTTCAGGGGATAACAGGAAGGCTATTAGGACATACTCAAGTTCATTCTAAGCTTTAAGAAAACTAGAGTGACCAGGTTAATAAAAAACTATTGAGCAAAACTGATACATTTGTCTTTTCTAACTGACAAAAACTGCTTTCCTCATCCATTTGTCGCTTTTTGATAGCAAATAGGCACTAATATAAGGAAAGATATTGAATATCCAAACATCGCAGCTCAAACTTTTACTTGAACATTCAGATTGGCGTCTTTTACTCTGACCTTCCTTTTGTTAAACCTCTTGAAAGGATACGGGGGAAAAATGTTTTGATGGACAGCCGTTTGATTTGTGCATCACCAACTGTAATTGTAACCACCTGCAGCTTTCCTGATTTTCAAATGGTTCCCAGGTTCAAGTTTTGGGGGGGTTTTTTGTAGAAAATTTCTTATAAAAACACTGAGGAATTAAGGTCAATTGCCGCCCTGTGAGAGAGTGATTGAATGCTCCGAGATGCTACCTTTGATCATTCTTACCTCACAAACTACACTCCAGCCTAAGGCATGCAGTCCAATTTACTCTCATCGTCTATTTTATCCTTTTTGACTCCCAGACAAACACCTTTGCTTGCTCAGACACACCGGCAGACAGATCAAAAGACAATATAAACCGCTTCCTCTGCCGGTGAAAGAAACGAGAAGCTTCAAAGCCTCCGCCGAGGCCCTGGCAGACCTCAACTTGGGAGTGGAAAGCAAAAGCTAGCTCAGACAAGCTGGGTGGGTGTGTGTTAAACAAGGAGGAGGTTTGGGTTGGGGCAAGGTGGGGGTGGTTTGCAAATATAAGGCTGTGAAACTGGCAGGAATTTACCTTAATGACCCAAATTACACCCATCACCCTCCTCTTTCAAACACCTTCACTAAAACACACTCCAGGCGACTCATTAAGCCACTCGGAACAAAGACCACCTCCCCGCGTGGAGGTGTGTTTATACGACTGTCCTCATGCCTGCGTGCTGGTCTTTGTCAGAGAGCCTGATCAGGGCCCTGCTTAGAACAAACCCACCCCCCATCCTCTCTTCCCAGAGCACCTCAGGAGATAAGAGATCGATTGGATTGGCTGTGGACCATGCTTGTCTCTACAAAGGGACCAGTCAAGCTGAAAGCTCCATCCATCGGTCACTGGAAGTGTTTCTAGGTGTTGGGTGGGGGTTAGGACTGAATGTTGGGGGCAGGGTGGGGGCATCCTGCTCCATCTAAAACCTACTGATCTAATAGGAAGCATATCCCCCCTTCCTCCTCTTTCACTCCTTTCTGTTTTTATGAAGCAGAGAGAAAGAAATGGCTCGGGGCAGCCGGCCAACGGTGTAATAAAACAGAACTCTTGTTCTGGACGTTTCTCATCTCTTCGCCCTTTTAGTTCCAACGGTTCACACAAGCTGGATCTGCTGATGTGTGGTCCAACATGAAACAGGCGTTTCATGTTTTTGTCTCCAATAAAGTAAAAAAACAAAAGCAAAAGCTACTCTAAGATGATGCTATAGCTTTTGAGACAAACACTACAGACTCTTTCGGTTCGACTTATCTTCAGTTTTGCCCCTTTCCAGGAAATGAAAACATTTCAAGCTGGATTCGCAAAAAAAGTTGGAGAAATTCTTTGGAATTCCAGGCAACAGCTGGCTGCTGGCTTGTTCCCGCCCATCACTCCCACGCAGACCAAATGCTTGCACGCCTTCAACATACGCCCTCTATCACACCTCCCCACTCTGCCCATTTTCCCTGCCCGGGCATTGATCAATGCAAAGAGCGTTTTGTCTACATGCTTAAAACACACAAAGTTGGGACACAGCCACTGTTTTTTAGACGGCAAACAAAGTTCAACTGGAATGATGGGGGGTGGTTGTTGTGCAACCGTCCTGTAAGAAGAAAAAAAAGACGGAAAAAGGGAAGTGTGGGAGGAATTTCCAGAGTGTGTTCACCAGATGTATGAATTTGAGGGCAGTTCAGCATTTTTGTTTTGTTAAAGTTTATGATTTAGCTCAGCTGGGAATCTTCCAGAAGGTTCATCCGCTTTAAGCAGTCGCAGATGTTTTCACACAGGACAAAGGTAAGGATAGGAGGCCTCCAATCTGACGCTGTGCAAACAGAAAACTCCAGATGAGGCATGGAGCAGTTAGGCATCAAGGTGCAGAGGTCCCAAAAACTACTGAAAGCCTTGTTGTCATACAAGTTTACATTTTTGTCTAAAACACCACAGTGGCACAATTTCTTTTTGTTTTCAACTCACGATTATTCACTTAAAAATCAGGCAGAATCACTAAGTTACCAGTTTTCTGATGCACTTTTTTGTTAAACCTAATAAATGTTAGAAACAAACTATTTTGCTTAAAATCCCCTTACGCCCCAAGGAGAAATAACCGTTTAATTTTTTTCTTTTGGCTGCATGGAGCATATGTAAAAAAAAAAAAAAAAAAAAGCCAAGGTTTAACAATTTGGATACTTCTGCAATGGAAAACAAAAGAAAACCCATGCAGGTCATTGTTTTCAAAGACTTAAGTGGCATTTATGTAAAGCATTCTATAAAAAATAGCAGCTCACATGGTGCATTTACTTTGATTATCTCAGCTGCAATACAGTAAAAGCGGAATTACTAATGGCTCCTTATTTCTTTTAAATAAAACTTAATATTGGGGGAAAATATCAGCCAATTTTTATTAAAGCATGGTATTTAATCATGTGTAGTGAGGTTTAATCAAAACTATAAACCCAGCTGTTTATCGATGGATGGCTGCACTCAGAAACCAACCAGGCCTTCGAATGTCAAATTCAACTTATGGATGATCAGTTGATTCGCTAGGAAATACATTTCCTCTAATTAACCTTGAGTTCAATTATCAGTCTAGCAACCTGATCTTAGTTGGTTTTAATGAAGCTTAGGATACATTCTATATGTAACATTATCTTCCATTTGGAGGCTCCTTTCCTGGCTACAAATATTTTATAAATCTCAGAATTCATATCATAGTCCAACTAAGTTTAGTGATTTTAAAACATAAAAATGAAGAAAAGTTGGGTAATCTGCACATGCATTCCAACACCAGAAAGGTCACCTACAGTTTAATCACATTTAGTTTTGTAAAAAGGTTAATTTAATTCAGTTCCCGGATTTGAATGCTGTATTTTCCCCACATGAAAAGTAATGGCAGATGCCCAGGGAAGAATGGAAAAGATGATTAAATACATTTCAGCTGTGGCAACCTGTCATCTGCTTTCAGCAGGGAGTTAAGAGAAGGAGGATGGCCTAAAAGTGTGCTTTCCAGAATAACAAGATGACTAAATAGCTAAAGTATTTTATTTTTCTGACATGCAAATAGAATGCAAGGCCTTCATTCAGCCAGCTGGCCAGCAGTGGGCATTAAAGTTGCCCCAAAAAAAGAGATTAAAATCCTGTTTTACTAAGATATCAATCTATGCCTCCTTAAAACAAGCCAGCATCCCATTAATCCACGCAAGGTGTTCATGTTAGGACATGTCCTCAAAGACAAAACATCACAGACAGGGGCGTAACCAGAACGTTCTTAAAAGGGTGGCCAGGGTCAATCCAAACTGTTCCAACAGGAAAATTGTGCATATCCATTTTTTCTAAATAAAGACAAACTACACTTTCCGACAGTCTTTTGCTGATAAAAAAAAACCCCGTAAACATCCGTGCTTTCCAAATAAAAGGTATACTGGATTAAAAACTTTCAAACATCTTTTCCATTGTCATTACTTGCCTACTTTTATCAATAATCATTCTTCATAAAATTGATATTACAAGAACTATTATCTACATACATTGATTTAATAAGTTTTTATTAAAATAGTTATTTATCTATGATTTCACTGAAAAAACTCCTAGATGACTTGCAGAGACTCGTCCTTTTGTCTTTACCTCAAATAAAACAAAATCTAGTTCAGAAGAGTGGATAAATTCCATATTTATCATTTTAATGTTAGTATATTGATGTCCAAAATTAACCAAAGTGTTTTTGTTGCCAATGAAAATGTTTTGAATATTCCATTTTAGAATATTGATGCTGCCACTATCTGTATAAGAGGGGGGGAAATGGTAGGGGTGTCAAATAATTGGCTACGGGTCACCCCTGGCCCCCCATCTAGCTCCGCCCCTGTTCATAGAGAAGCTGATGATGGTTACCTGAGGTGTCCCACAAGCTCAGCTCGATCCTCTGCGTGTCGATCTCAAAACTGGCTGTGTAGTTTTCAAACACCGTGGGGACATAGCTCTGGAGGGGAGGGAAGGAACACGCAGTGATGAGAGGGCGTCTGCTGGGCTTTTACATTTTAGTTAAAGAAGTTGTGTTTTAATGGTGCGTTAAATGTCTCACCTCAGGGAAGCAATCCTTGGCGAACACGTGAAGCAGCGCGGTCTTCCCGCACTGGCTGTCCCCCACCACCACGATTTTACACTTTACACTCTGACTGGGGTCCATGGCGGATTTCAGAGAGGACTTCTGACACGACCGTCTGTCCTTCATTGAGCGACCAGTACAAAAACACGAGTCCAGTCCTGACTGTTGGGACGTAGCTGATTCCCAGTTAGCGAGGCGTCCTGCTCCTCTGCTGTCTCCGCCTGTTCTGTGCCGGTAAAAGCCATTTAGCTGCTTTTATATGGAGGCGGGAGCCAATGGCAGCGCTTCTTCTCTTCCTCCTCCTCCTCCATACTGCAATCCACTGGGAGGGCGCCCCCATTTGGATCACTGGAGACTCACAACTTAACTAATATACATCCTGATGTAACAAGTGTTTGGAAGGGATAGAGGGATTATCATGCAACGTCACTCTACGTCACTTCCGGCACCAATGCGCATGTCGCCTGCAGAAAGAGCCGCTAACATGTCTCGTTGTGCTGTCGGTTGCACGAACCGTTTTGATAAAAACAATAAAACGCGCAAGTTTTATCGAATCCCATCAACTCGCACCCCTTTCAAGGCAAACAAGAGACGTCTTTGGTTGCAAGCCATCAGAAGAAGCGATTGGAACGAGCAGATGATTAAAAATGCATCAATCTGCAGCGATCACTTTATATCAGGTAAGTCTTATCTATAAAAAAGCTAAACGGCATCGCTGGTTTTACAAACAATGGTTTTACATACAATTATTAAGTATTACATATATAAACGGGATTAATGAATCGTACAAAACACATTGGACTATAACTAGCATACAAGCTAATGAACCTTGATTCAGTCTTATCAAGTTGCAACTCATCGGGTCAGCCATAAGTTTTATCATTAACATCATCACGTTGTCTGGTCTAAACTTCTCTGTGTGTGCTGTCTTTTCAATTGATTGACTAGTGTCTGTAATAAAGGTTGATGATGATGATGATTGCTTCAATTCATTATTTGTACAGGAGAGGCATCAGACGACATCCCAGACTTTGTCCCGTCTATCTTTCCATACTCAATCCAGCCCGGCAAAGACGGTGTTTGAAAACTAGAGCGGAAAGTATCACATCTGTGTGCTTGATTGTTGTCTGATTACAAGCATGACTCCACATAGTATGACTGGAAGTGCAAAGAAAAAATATTGATATATTGTAGCTATATAGGTTACCCGGGTTAAAGGTCAGAGCATGTAGTTTTTATTAGACATCTCATATGGAGAGTTGGGATGACTGAGCATGTGATTTGTATGGATTTGAATTCAGGAGATTGTTCCCTCCTGTGTGTTTCAGATATAAGAGAAAAAGAAGAAGGGATGCAACCCCCAGCAGGTGTCCAGAAGATGGACATCAGTGTACACCCTCTTCCATCTCTCCAACTGAGTGTGGAATAGAGGCTGGTGCTGATCTATATAATGGTATGAAACCTTATTACTAACCTGACCAAGACGGCCTGCAAACTCATTTGGATTTTTATAAAGGGACGTAGATCTGTGTGTTCCTAAATGTTAACATATTAATTATTGCAGAATAGAAAGGTCACTAGTGTACGGAAGAGGTTTAGGGCCACTGAAAAAAAAAAAAAGTAAACTGATTTTAAAAATTTATTTCAGTTTAACATGGGAACAAAGTCAGAATTCTGACTTTTTTCCCATACTATACTGAAATAAAATAAACAAAAACAGTTAACTTTTTTTTTTTTCCAGTGGCCCTTATCCTCTTCCGTACTAGGGGGATTAATCAGTTAGTAATGTTCATATTTGTTGCGAACAGGTATTTGCCCACAGTGTGACTTATCACCCAGAATGTAACCATTTGTTTTTTGTAAAGATAAGAATGTAAAATTTGTATTTATTTTTCAGAAGGTATGGTCCAAAAGACTGTCCATGATGACCTCCAGCTGAAGTACAGCCAACTTCATACAGAGTGTGATAACCTGCGTGAGGACATCAACAAACTGAAAACAGAGAATGAACAATTAAAAGAAATGCTCGGGACTGCACAGTTCTCTTTTGCGTCACTGAAGTGTAAAGCAGCACAGGTGCTGTTTTTCACAGGTCTAACCAGTGCCCTCTTTAATGGGGTCCTGCAGACGATTAAGGACAGTGTTGAGGTCATCCGTGGCTCTCTGACCCTAGAGGATCATCTTTTGGCTGTACTCATGAAACTCAGATTAGGACTCACCAACAAGGATATTGCATTCAGATTTAATGTTAACGAATGTGACATCTCTAAAGTCTTAAGAAGTTGGCTGCCTATTATGTCTCAGATTTTGAAACCTTTAATCAAGTGGCCAAGTAAGCATGCTATTTTAAAGAATATGCCAAAATGTTTCAAACCTAAATACCAGCGTTGCAGGTGCATTATTGACTGCACAGAAATTTTTTATTAACAGACCAACAAATTTAACAGCCAGAGCCCAAACATATTCAAATTATAAGAGCCATAACACGGTTAAGTATTTGGTTGGCATGTCACCTGCAGGAGCAATTACATTTCTGTCTGCAGGTTGGGGTGGGCGTGTTTCTGATAAACAACTTTCAGCCGAGTCTGGATTTTATGACCTTCTACAAGTAAATGATGAGATACTAGCAGATCGTGGTTTTACCATTAGAGATGAGCTTGCCTTGCGTGGTGCTACCCTGAGGATCCCTCACTTTACCAAAGGTAAAAAGCAGTTGTCTGCTCAAGAGGTGGAAACATTGAGGCGTTTGTCCAATGTTAGAATACACATTGAAAGAATAATAGGGAGATGGAAAACTTTCCGAATTCTTACTACTGTTATTCCTTTATCACAGGTGGACCTGTTAGATGACATTGTAATTGTTTGTGCAGCATTGACAAACATTTGCAAATGCATAGTCCCTAGAAAATAAATTAAAAGCCCTTAATTGAATTGTGCCAAAATTAAGGCCTTAATGTTGTTAACATCTATGAATTGAGGTTTAAATGTCATTGAATATTATTATTTTTTTTTTTTAATGATTGCCTAAGTATTTTCACTGCATAAGCTCATTGAACATTCAAAAGCTGTGGTTTAAAAAATTTTGCAGCAGTTTTGGTTCAAAATGTGTGTTGTATCCAGTTTGCTTTTGAATATTGAGATTTTTCCTCATTCCTCTGTTGTATGATATATTTCAAAATCTTAACTGAAATATGCAGATATTTTACTTTGTGTTTTGCCATTGAAAAGAATACAATTCAATCAGCTGATACCTGTGTACACCCTGTGTAAATATTAATAGTATTCAAGAGTCAAGGAAACATTGAAATATATTTATTCTTGTGCATGTAACCAATAATAAAAATAACAATATTAAACAATCTTGTCATAAGATGCACACTGAGAACCTTAGTGCATACTTTGAATGGTAAGCACAGGTACAGTTACAACTCTATTTTTCAGAGTGCATTTTTTCTAGTTTTTCTGTTTTTCGCGCTGATCACAATACCATTCTTTAGCCTTTCTTTTTACTTTTGCACATTCGTAATGGAAATGCCTATTGCACTTTGCACAGGTGGGAATGAATGTCCGGCCACTGAATTTTTGGGCCATTTTTTCTCGTCATTTATCCGCTCACCGGCATGTAACGCGTATGGGTCATTAAGACGTATTCCATTAACTAGTGTTAATTTAGCAGCATAACTTATTTTATCACTAGGTGATAAACTGTTGTAGAACGCTGACAACATCGCTAGTTAGCAGATCGCAACAGCTAAATAACCGCGTATAATCACAACATTCGACCAGACGCTTTAAAGGACCCGGCACTTTTTGCAGTCAAGATGCGCGCGCATCTGCCGTGTTGATAAACAAATAATCCCTCTATATGGAAGAGGATAAGGGCACCTGAAAAAAAAAGTTAACAAATTTTAAAATTTTATTTCAGTATAATGTGAAAAAAGTCAGAATTCTGACTTTTTTTTCTCAGTTTCTGACTTTAATCTCAGATTCTGACTTTAATATCGGAATTCTGACTTTTTCTCAGAATTCTGACTTTAATCTCAGAATTCAGACTTTTTTTTCTCAGATACCGACTTTAATGTCAGATTCTGACTTTAATCTCAGAATTCTGACCCTAATCCCAGAATTCTGACTTTAATCTCAGAATTCTGACCCTAATCCCAGAATTCTGACTTTAATCTCAGAATTCTGACCTTTTTTGCTCTTTAGTCTCAGAATTCTGACTTTTTTCTCAGATTCTGACTTTAATCTCAGATTCTGACTATAATCTCAGAATTCTGACCCTAATCCCAGAATTCTGACTTTTTTGCTCTTTAGTCTCAGAATTCTGACTTTTTTCTCAGATTCTGACTTTAATCTCAGAATTTAGCCTTTTTTATTTTTATTACTTATTTTATACTGTCCAATGTTAGACCTGTCTCGATCAAGTAATATTACTAAAACAGGGAACAAAAGTCAACAATAAAAAGGTATGAAAACAACTGTCCCATGTAAAATTAACCAATGAGTTACAGAACCTTTTACAGTTTTTTTGGATTGCTTACACACTAAAGTTAAAAGTAGTACACAATTAGCAAAACCTTACACTCAAGAAGCAAAACATCAGCCCTTATTTGCACAACTATAAGCACATTGTCAACCTCACACTTGTTGCAAAACTAAACACACAGGGATTTGCAAAACACTAAACACACTTAACATACATTACACACAAAAATCTATTATGAAGTCACTTCCTTGCAATACCAAAGCACTGAATGTCAAATTACTGCACCTTCCAACCAATTGATTCAACATAGTCATCTGGTGTGCAAACACTTGTTTGCTTAATTGTAGACACACCAATCAGGCGTATAAGCAATATAAAAAGCAGCAGGTGAGTTCATCGGTCTTCAGGCACAATGGAAAGAGTCAGAGAAATAGTAAGACGAGGTGGAGGAGAAGGAGGAGGACAAGGAGGAGGACGACGACAAGGAGGAGGAGAAGGACAAGGAGGAAGGGGAGGAAGAGGAATCAACAGAAGAGGAAGAGATGGAGGCCATGCTGGAGGTAGAGGAAGAAAAGAACGTGCTCAAAGAGGAACGAATCTGACAAATGAGATCCCCGCAACACTGGTTGACCACGTTGTCAACCACGGCCTGACGATGAGGGAGGCTGGACTGAGAGTACAGCCAAATCTAAGCCGATACACAGTGGCAAGTGTGATAAGCACATTTCGACTGGAAAATAGGTATTGTAAAAATATCATTTC